AAATCATAATTATCATCAAAGATTATGTTATCAAAAAAAATTTTAAATTATCTCATAAACAACGCATTTGTTTATAACAATTTTTTAAACAATAGGAGATAAAAATTATAAAAAATTATTTTTAAGTAGCTTCTGATCATAAGAAAACGGATCAATAATAATATTATGAAAAAAAATTTTTTTCAATGTATAATAAAGCTTTATAATTTTTTAACTTAGTAAATTGTTAATTACTGTTATGTAAAGAAATTTTTCTTTACATATTTATTAATTATAAAAAATCGAGTATAATTTTATTTAAATTTTAACGATTGTAAAAGATAATTCGAGTGTGGTCATTAAGTGTCTCGTTCGATCTTTGCAAAAGGCCCAGGGAAATTCCCGTAATTATTCTGAGGGCCCAGGTATTTTAAAGAGATTAAATAGATAAATGGGAGTTTTGTTATACGTAAACAAACTCACTTATACTTAAAATAAGAAATACTTAAGTAATGATAAAGAACAAGATAAAAGATTTATTTTAAACCGAAAGATTTTAGAATAACTTAATGACAGAATTTTAGTGTTGAGAAAAATATTGAAATAAATTTTAATATTGCACTTTCCGAAATAATTTTTAGACAACAAAATTAAATATGAAATGAAAAAGAAATAAAAAAAAATAGAACTTGAAAGTTAAATAAATAAAAATAAACAAATATTAAACAATTAAATTCTAAAATAATACAACAAAATTATAAAACGACAAAACAGAAATATTTCTACAAATAAATAATTAAATTCAAGGAAACGTAAGAAATGTTAGATTCAAGTACATATTTATTCATACGATTTTAACAAATAAATTAATGTAGACAGTACAAATGTATGTCTTTGTCTATGCGTAAATGCGCTTACGTATACACAAACACATAGATGAATAATAGAACATAAGAGTAAGTGAGAAAGTATGTTGCACTCAGACCCAAGTAGAGGGACTCATACAACATTTTTAGACAAATTTAAGAGAGAGGGTAAGGGCCCGAGAAAATAGACAAATAATTCTACAAATAATAACAAATAATCTCTCTCGTTGTCCTGACGTCCTAGTGTTAACATCGTACATAGTTTAAATAAGTCTCAATAGACCACGTGTAAATCTATTGTATGAAAAGTAAAACATTTGTAAAGGTAAAGTAAAATCGTAAAGTGAAACCAACTAAAATAAATTAAATCAACAAGGTTCATCAATTTTTTATCAGGTATATTTTGAATTATTAATATTTGTGAATTATTAATATTTGTGAATTTGGTAATATTGTAAAATCGTTATATGAAAGAAAAGTTAACTTCAATCACTGTATAATAATTGTAACTATTGTAAATTAACTAATGATATTAATTTTGGATTTAAACAATATATGTATTAAAATTATTCAACTACATCAATTTATTCAAACAAACCTATCTTTCTCAATAAATTAAAACTCGGAAGTTCCCGGTCTATTAGCCTAACACGTTAGGACCAAATACTTAAACACATTAAATATTTTAAATGTGAAATTAATTAATTACCCTAAATTAATATTTTTTACATAACAATTACAAAATGAAAATTAACAATTTTTTAATTTTTTAATTTAGATATCATTACGAATCGAATGACACCTCAATCATAATTTTCGAAGACTGCTGAAAAAAGTTGACCAAAAAGGCACTTGTTGACTAGACTACTAGGTTGAAAGCCAATTGGAATCAACCAACCATAAACACACGGTTAAATTTGTAAGTGAAAAAATTTTTGTATGAAAAGATAATAATTTAACATAAAGCGAACTTTTAAAAACAATTACAGCGAAATATAACTCGAGTTCCTGGGCGTCACGCGTGACACAATGGAAAACAGGATGAGTCTCCCGGAGAAGACTCAGAAAATAAGAGTTCTATGTCAGGAGAGCAAACAGCAAGGGACCTGCTCGCTAAAGCAGTCCCAACAGCTTCTAGGATGCCTAAATTTTGCGACCTTCAGTACATTCCGGGGTCGGCTCCACTGTCGTCAACTCCAGAAAATGAGCAACTAGTTCAGCCAGGGACGTTCTCGCGAACAGCTGGCAATCAGAAAGGAGATAGTGACAGAGCTAAAATGGTGGCAGGAAGCAGCAGCCCTGAGCTCACCACTGCACTAAGGGTCAGTCAAGAAACCTTTTGACCACCGATGCAGCAATCTCGGGATGGGGAGCCTAGCTGAACGAGATCCTGAGGGCAGGTTCTTGGTCGAGGTCCCAACAAAACTGGCACTCGAACAAAGAAAGAACGAATTGCGGTGATACAGGCAATACGGAAGCACGCTCAGAAACTTCGAAATGCCCACATTCTGGTACAATCGGACAACCAGGCAGTATTTGCCTATATTCGAAATAAGGGAGGAACCAAGTCCATCGAGTTGCTCGACTTATACTACGAACTCCTTGCTCTCGTAGACAGTTAGAACATAACCATGTCTGCCTTTTACACCAGGTCGTTACAACGGCATCGCAGACCGCCTGTCTCATGAAATAATCAGAAGGTAGAGAGGATCCGAAATAGATCTCTTTGCTTCAAGGAGATCAAGAGTGGTCAGGACCTATGTCTCGATTGACTGCAGAGATCGATCCGCTTGTTATGTAGACGCCTTCAGCCGCCCGTGGGTATACAAACAAGCTTGGATATTTCCACCGTCCAACCTCATCCCCAGAGGTCTAGCGCACCTCAACTCATGTCAGGGAGAGTTTCTCACAATAGTTCCCAAGTGGGAGAAGACATTTTGAATGTCAGATTTATCCAGTCGGAGCCTGGAGCCTCCGATAACCATAGAGAGACTGGAGTCGGTCCTGGCAGACTTAGCAACCATCCAACCTCCTCCGGAGATAGACAGACTTACTCTACAAGCGTGGAGGATTAGGTGCGGGGAAACCAGGTCAGAAACTGGTCCCAAGAAGAGAAAGAATAAATAAAGGACAGCTGGAGACAGTCAACTCTTGAAACATCTAGAGTTCCAAATCGCAGGTGGCTTGAGTGATGTAGTGAAACAGGGGTTAACCTGGGCGCTCCTAGAAGACACGAGCTAGCTAGGTTCCTTGCAAGTCCGTGCATCAAGGATGAGCTAGCACCCAGCACTATCTTGGTCTACAAATCTGCAATATCAACATTCTGCTCCGGCTGTAATATCACGAGAAAGTCATCAGACTGACTAGTCAGGCTGATATTAAAAAGAATATTGTTATCACGACCAAGAGAAGATCACGCTCCGATTTGGGATGCACAGATCCTTTATGATTGGCTATCCACAAGCCCGCCATAGCTCACTTTCTCTGAAGTCTTGAGACGCACGGCCTCATTACTTCTGTTGGCCTCAGGTCGGCGCATCCATGACCTGACTCTACCAAAGATTTCGGCGGATCACTTAGACAATCTTAGGGACGAAATCATTCTCTGGCCAGCCTCCGGTTTGAAGACCGATCGAGCATCTTTTTGTCAATCCGGCTGGAAGATTTCGAAGCACAAGAACATACGGTGTGTCCGGTCACCTGGGTAAGAGCCCTACTAAAGAAGCCAGAAGACAGAGAACAGAGTTAGTTGATCTGTTTATCACTCTGATTAGTCCTTTTAGGGCAGTCTCACGCACCGTGATAGCAGGCTGGATTAAGTCAGCACTAAAAGCAGCGAGGGTAGACGCTACTCCAGAAAGCGTCCGATCAGCAGTGGCCTCCCGAGGAGGGCTAGATAATCTCCTTCTCCAGGAGATTCTCGAGCGGGGTAATTGGAGATGTTCCGAGACCTTTTGAAACCACTTCTGCCGCCAGGTTGTGGCCAAATAAAACAACAACCCCGGTTTACTATTCTAGAACCCCAAGGCTGTGAACTTGCAAACTAATAAGCATACTTAGGTACTCAAGACGCCCTGTCTACCGTTTATGCATGTAACAGAGTAATATATATTTATATTTATAGGATATTTTCAGTTCAGTACATCTAAGTTATAAGCTAGAGGTGCTCTAATTAATAAAGATCTGTAATTTTAGTCATAGCAATAAAAGAGAGTAAACAAAAGAAGATTTTTCTACATTCTGTTCCAGAAAAAAAAAAAAAAAAAAAAGATCTAACATTGGAACATTTTTTAACTTAGGAGCCAGGTTATCAATTCCGAAATCATTGAATAGAAAATAATATTTTTGTTCTTTTTCAGTGAATCTCGAGTCTCAGCAGATGCATATTAGCGCAAAGCTCAAAGGTTGTAGTTATCAAAGATTCTGTCAGAAGTACAGTATTCCAAAAAGATTGATGCTACCTCGATTTAACGTTAATCACTAAACCCATTAAGCTTCTGTTGCACATATTTGTGCATGAAGATGAAAAAGATGTAGAGATATGGATATCCGAGGCTCGATTAGCTAAACTATTACAAACTATCATCCATAAGTTCGCCTGACAATGAAGCGTCGTGACAACTAGTATACAGAGTTTCGGTGTATCGTCACAAAGGATTTTAATCGGTCTAATAATACCAGTAAGTACTGTATGGTAGGGTAGAGTCCAAAGGCTTTAATGGCTTTAAGGGCTTTGAGATAGCTACGTCATGTTCTGTCAAGTAGTTCTTTGTCTTTGTCTTGTGTGCCGTATTTGCGTGTATATATGAGTAATATACATAAGTGGATGTGATTCGTCAGCAGACGAGGATTGCTTTCAAAAATGTATTCGATATATACAACAGAAGGAGAAGGGGTGTGAAATATATGAGAAAAGAGAAAAATCTACTTACACTTTCGAACCTGTCCTTGTTCTTGGCGTGTTGAGCAATAAAACGTGCGTCTTCAATGGTTTTTTCGATTTCCCTGGCAAGTGGTCGCTCGAACGTCGGACTGGCGTCGTCGTGAACGTATCCCGGACTGGCGGGTACGAACAGTTCATCATCGCCACCACCAGGGAGCGGTATAGGCGGCAATGCAGACTCATCAAAACGTGGAGCCACTACGGGAATGGGTAGGTCGCCGTACCTCGAGTTGGGTATTGTTGTAACAGATGGAGGCACTGGTACTGGTGGTATTGTAACTGGTAAACCGGGCAAATCTGTTATTTCATAATCCTCACTGTACCTTTTGCCACCGTAGGGTAATTCATATTTGTCAGTCTCATTAACGTTAGGGAACACATCGGTGAGTATTAGCTCGGGCGCTTTATCGTCGTCATCCTCGTCCTCATCATCCTCATTATTGTTATCGATATTATCATCATTATCATTATTATCATTATCGTCATCGTTGTCCGTATTTGGTCTTTCGATGCACAAGTATTTAGGTAATATATCAATAAATACTACTCTTACCCATCTAGCCATACGATGTGTCACCGGCGAACGAAAGTTAACATTTAACACGGCAATAGTCACTACCACAGACAGAGTTACCAGCACCATTGTAAACAACAAATATTTACCGAGAAGCGGCACTGTCAATGACGTAGGAGGGATTATCTCGGCAAGCAATAGAAAGAATACTGTTAATGATAGTAATATTGATATTGACAATGATACCTTTTCACCACTATGACTCGGCAAGTAAAACACCAGCACTGATAAAAACGATATACCCACACAAGGTATGATTAAATTTACGGTGTAGAATAATGTTTTACGGCGTAATGTTATGTTAAATATTATATCGGGATAGGGCTCCTCACAACAACTGTAAAATTTTTCATTTCTTTTCGCAGGCACTTTTAATATGTCCCACTCGACGGAGATGTAGTAATCGGCCAAGTCGATCCCCACCTCTATTTCATTCGAGTCCTCGGTCTGGCTCAAGTGACGAAGATCCACCTGAAATAATTATTTATATACATTATTCATTAATAGTTACTTATTCTACAATTATAAATTATTTTTATTTATTTTGGGGTTATTATATAGGAGCAGGTAATTAATTATATTTTATGGAGGATAATATAAAAAATTTAACAATTTTTGGTTTATTTATTTTTTATTTTAAATAAAGAACAAATTTGAAATATACATGTATAAATAGTCACTTGGTGATTAATTTTGACAAATTACAATAATCGGAGTAGTAAAATAATTCTGAAATAAAAATATCGGAGATATTAAAAGCAAACAACAGTCTTCAGTTGTTTGGAATGGACTTCAAAGAAGTGATCCTCATCACGACTTTAATCAAACGACGATGGATCATGCCTTTATACAATGGAAATCCCTCCAGCAGGTCTGAGGTGATGTAGGGGTCCTTTACATCCTTCAAATCATCCACCAACTGGTCAATGTTTTTGCTCAGCATCTCATAAAGACTAACACCGGTGAAACCAAATTTCAAGTCTTTAATGACTTCCAATTCTTCGGTGCAATTCAATTGAAAAACATCCATTTTGTTATTGACTCTAGCGATATTCCTCTCAGAAACATTGCCAATTTTAGCTTCTATCAATTTAACAATATGTTTTTTGAGAATCGAAAGACGAGATATATTATCCTTGTCCATGACGTCTATATCAATCGCAAGCAGGCCTTCAGTGTTTTCAACGTTAATATCAATGCCCGCGTCAAGCAATAATTGAACATTCGATTCATTTCTTACGCGACTTTTCATCGCAAAGTGAAGAGCCGTTTCGTTTTTGGATGTAACGGCATTGATATTAACTTCCAAGTTCAATAAAAGTTCTAGAATCTCGTAGTTTTGACATTTAGCCGCGATATGTACTGGAGTCACTCCCTCATCTTCGCCCTCGATGATGGAACAATTGATGTCAGCTCCGCTTCTCACAAGAAGAAAAACTATTTCTAAATTTCCTCTGCGAACAGCTATCATTAGTGGTGTCCCCTTGTATATTTCATAAACATTGACATCTGCATTATTATTGAACAGTAACTCTATTATTTCTTGATTTGGTTTCCAAACATCCATGTGCAGCGGAGTGCATCTGTTTCTGACGCAACCGTACACCTCCGCGTTTACATTAGCACCGCTGCTGATCAGAAAGCTGACTGCTTTTTTTTTGTTCAACGCAACGGCAGCGTGCAATGGGGTCCATCCATTAACCAAAAGTTTAATATTTAAATCAATTGGTTGAGAAAACAGAAACGACAACTGCATCTCATTATCCTCTCTGATAGCTTCGAAAATATCACGTATTAGCTTGATTTGTTTATCGCCGTTCTTTTTATAATGAGTACTATTAATATTAATTGCTTCTTTAGCTTCCGCTAACTCAGGATGGATCTGATAACACAAAAATTTTTCGGTCTCTGATTTATTATAAGTTGTCATAAAATGCGACCACGACCCGTAATCAGCATTCATGACCGCTGTGTTATCGTCAGCCTCGCAACTTGGAACCGATGAAAGTTTCAATATTTTCGACATTTTGATGAACAAGTAGACTTGAATCACTTTTTCACAAAATAACAAATTTCACAAGATGCCACACGTTTTCAAGAGCAAGTGAAGCCTAACAGTGAAGTTTCAAAATTTCGTTTCCTATTTATAGTCTACTTAACTTAGCTCCCTCCCTTTTAATATTTCATTCATGCATTTGTACTTGATATAGATATACTTGAAATTAGCACGTCGTTTCTTAATGGGTGCTTGTTGGCGACAGTAAGATTATAGAAAAGTATACCTGAGGTCCTTTAAAACTGAAGACACTATGAGTATATAGGTGTTACTTACTTAAGCATTGAAAAATTTTGTTTCTCAGAAATCCGTAATTGTCCGAGTTAAAATATATTCCCATATGTATCGAGAACATTGACCGAAAGTGTAAGAATATAAAGACCTTTAAAAGGGGATTAAGAGTCATTAGTTTTGTGATTTTGTTACAGAAGTCTGGGCAAAATTTTAAAACCCATTAACGTGAAAAAATAACAAAAAGATTATGTATTACTTAAAATTTGCCAAAGACTAAACCGATTTTCAAAAATAAAATTCAATATAATAAATTATGTTTCAATATACAGAAGTACTTTTACTTTTCTAAATGACGTTGCTATTTAAAAAGTTTATTTCTTTTAGAGCAAAAGCTTAGAAATGAATACCCAAACGCAAACTCAATACTATCACACCGCGAAAAAACATCAAGAGCTCAAGATAATCGTCTATCTCGGAAAAAAGTCAGGAGCGATTCACATCTACAATAATGCATTACTTCTTGCATGAATACTCATCCTGGTACTCCTCGGCGATCGATTCTCCTCTTTCACCATCAGCTGGAAACTAGAAATCCTCCCTCAGTCCTCAGTCTCTCTCCTCCCATCTACTTGACTCAACTCAACTTTTAACTCCGGCACTTGAAGTATCATTTAGTAAAGTCGACGTATGATAATGTATCAGGATATTCCTGCTGGAAAAATACTCCCGATAAAAAATAAAAAATAAAATATTTATACTGCTCGAGATATATTGAAAAACTGTACGCCTTATCTTTTTTGCAGAACCCAATATACACAGGTTGCCACTTGATAAGTCGACATGCCACCGTTAAAAAAAGTTTTGTGGTCTGATAAGTTAGATGTTCAACGAGTAGACGGTTTCCAGTGATCGTTTATGAGCTTGTGACCTGCTTCAAGTTTATCACCTTCCTGCTCCGGTTTTTTCATCTCTCACGCTCGTGAGTAACTTTAGATCACGGTAATAAACACGCGCAATACTAAAATACTTTGTAAATAAAATTTGTTTTTTTTTAACTTTAATAATTAATTACCATTTTTTAATTTTAATAAAGAATAAAATTACATTATACTCATTAACATTTGATAGTAAATTTTTGTAAAAAAATGTATTTAAATATTTTAATAAATAATGAAATTTTGTAATTAAAATTTGAGTGTTTATAGATAAAATGAAGCATTACATCCAGTATGATAGAAGTGTTCTTTCCAATTACGAGGAAAAAGTTGAGACAATTTAAAGTAAAATAGTTCATAAGGGTTTACAAAGTAAAATGACGTTGACATAAAGTGAATAAAAGAGCCAACAGTTTTCTCTGTGCGCACACCACTATACTGGCATGTATTATATATATATATATATATATATATATATACGTATATACCCCGCGACCTACCTCGATGACCCGTAACTCTGTTTCCGAACGATGAAATATGCAAGTAAATCGAGAGTTGCATTATGCATTGGTGGTGGAGGCTCGCTGAAGAGGACAATGGATCCTTCTCATCTCTTCTCTCTACTTACTCGAAGTCATCGTTACTCTTCTCTTCTGTTTTCCCAGTCTAGTTTCTCATCTCATCTCCTCTCCTCAGTATGTATATACATATAATATATATATTCTTACACTTTTGATAGCCCACCGAGGTTACAATGTTGCAACACTACGAAAAATTCCTTCATAGATGTCATGGTCAATTGGCGGACGTGAGTTTTTATTTCGGCCAATAGCACTATAATTTGCAATGCTATTTCCATATATTTCCATCAAAGCTAGTTTCAATATTTTCTTCCAATCAATCATACCTGTTTCTGTTACAGCACTTTGTTCAATGCTTTCAATCAATTTAATGGGGAAATAAATGTGAGAATTCGGAGAAATTTCTTTCTAAAATTAAATTCATCGACTTTTACTATTGTTTAATTTACATTGAAGACGAATAACATGAATTAAGAAAACTTATTAGATACTTATTCCAAATCAAAACTTAAATACTATACCTTATTTTCTCCATTTACCTTGAAGCTTTTTATCATCTATAAAATAACAAAAAAAAATATACAAATTATGAATCAGTAGCTTATGTATTAAGAAAGAAAGAAAAACAATTATTACTGTAATACAATAGCAACATACTTGGTAAAAAGGGAAAATACCTTCGACATTTTCGTATTTTGATATTGATACGCTGCAGATAAGCCAGCGTAAATTTGTTTCAAAAATTTTTTATTTTCTTCACTAGCTGTGTAAATATAAACAAAAATAATTATGTTTTGCTTAAAAAATAATTACAATTATAATAATAAAGAATGCAAAATGCCTACATATAACTATATTTATAAACATTACCTGTCACTGGCAAAAAGGTGTGTAATGCTCCCATGTCTTCAGTGTCAGAAACTAGTACTTCAATATCTTTAGTAACTTTTTTACTTTCATTATTTACTTGTTCTTGATTTTTAACAAATTTTTGTACTCCAGACGTCGAAGGTAGTATATTAATAGAATAAGGTTCATCAGTTTCAATGGGTGAGCTCTGATTATTCTTAGAATTATTCACACTAGATTGATTTGATTGTAGCAAATCAATCTCAGTAAGGTTTGATTGCTCACTGTTATTTAACTGAGGACTAATTTTAATAACTGGCTTATCTATTTTCATAGAAGGCGTGCTTGTTTTTTGATTTTTCGAACTACATCCATTGAGTTCAAATAACGGTTTTTTTTTTGAAATGATGTGTTCTAGACTAGTCTTTTGGATTTTACTAGCTTTATTTCCTTCTTTAAGTTCTTCTTGTAATGATCTTTTTTTATCAAGAACTGATCTAAAAAAAGCTTTTGTTGAATCGTCGCAAATATTGCCATCCTCATCAAGTACAATATTTTCCAATTGATTTTTGTCACCTGTGTTAAAAGTTAAGATATATTAAATATATGTAATTAAATTACTAACGAAATGCCAACAGAGACTTACATTACAGCAAAGTATGATACTGAAATCAGCAGACATCTAAAAATTTTTTAGATTTTTATAAAAAATCAATTATAAAAAATATTTTTAATGAATATGCAATTGGAATTATTTTTGATTTATTTTAGTAAAATTTTAATGGAATTATCTTTTTTAATTTTAATTAATTTAATTATTCTAATTTATTTTAATAAAAAATAAGTTACAAAAAAATACTTTGAATAAATATGCACTTGTAATTATTTTCAATTTATTCTAATAAAATGTTAATTTAATTATTTAGTTTAATTTTCAATTATTTATTTTAATATTTATTAATTTAATTATTTTGATTTATTGAAATAAAAAATCAGTTATAAAAAAAATATTTTTAAAAAATATGCACTTGTAATTATTTTTTATTTCTAGATGTGGAATTTTTTATAAGAATTTTTCATAATATTTTTGTAGTTGTAGAAATAAAAAAAAATTGACAGATGTCTGTTAATTCCAGTATCATCAAAATATAACCTCACAAAGAGACCAATTCAAATCTTTTAATTAAATACATTAAAATATATTCATACTTACTGCCAAGTTCGAGAATTTTCACGTCAAATCGTTGACTAATTAACGTGCTAGGGTCTTCCCAAATAATTTTAACGACATTACCTTTCTTCCTGCGAGTTTTGGGTAATTTCGATGTCTCAACAACGAATCTCTCTCTTGTACTAATAAACCATATTAGAGCATAAGTGAATTCCTGCATTTTCTGTTTTGTTGGGGGCATTGTGATTTTAAAAATATTATTTAACTTGTTCAAGTATCAAGAAGGAGCTGGGACACAAACAATATTAGACTCAATCTTATCAAATATGGTCGTCCATAGAAATGTTTACAATCTTTACCTCCACCGTGACCGATTTCCGTTGTATTTCATAAAAATATAAAAAGAATTATGCAATTGGCTAATAATATGCGGGAAATTTGAAAACTCATAAACTCTAAGATTTACTGACCAATAAAATAGTAGCTTTAGAAAACTGCATTTTTTAACGCTTGGTGGCGTCATCGTCAAAAATTTGATCTATGTATGTGTGTATGTGTGAATGCGTGTCGAGTTTGTTAGTGTGTATTTGCATCAACATTCGTTTGTGGATAGTACATAACCTTTTAGTGAGTTCAATAAATAATCAGAGCTATTGAAAGTGTAAATGACAGTTTATATTAACTTATAATTTAAAAATTTTTATTGCTACAAAAATTTAAATATTAGTCACAGAAAATTTATCGCAGCACGTAATTATAAACAAAAATGTCGAACAAGAATTTTCATGATTTATCTAAACGAAGAAAGAGAGACTACCTCAATAGTATTTATAGAATAAATAATGTTCCTGACGAAAATAATTATGAAAATGAGGTAAGTATATCATTGATTATAAAAATTTATAGTATTTTCATCAAATTGGAATATATTAAAAAAAATTAGGAGCGCTAATGTAAATAATTTGATTCGGAGCAAGACTCAGAGGTTTCGTAAATTGATAAAATAGAATTTATCAAACACAATTTATAATTAAATATTCCCAGAAATTAATTTAATTCTAATTAATAATATAATCTGAAAAATATCGTTGTAAATAAAATTACTGTAACAAATTTCACTGAGGAAAAGGTTCAGAGAGGTTCTCTCGGAATACTCTACCTGACAGACATCTGGCGCACCTTTAGTATTGCCAGTGTCTTTACTAGCAACGCCAACTTAAATTAAAATTTACTCTGTTACATTCCAAAATAATGATTTTAGGTTGAGAATCTACCGTTGGTCCAAGAAAACAACAATAATAGTTTTAAAAATGAAAATCATTCAGCAGATGAGGATGATACTACTTTGGATGGTATGCCAGAGTTGCAGAATACAGCAGATTCCAGGACAATAGATTGTATCACACATCAGCGTAATACTGACGATCAAGTAAGTAAACAATTAAAGTATATATCAAGCAAAGGTGATATTTTCATATTATTTTGTTTTTAAAATATAAGACTATTCATGTTTCTTCATTATAATAAAATATGACTATTTTCAGACTTCAAATCAAGATGTCTGTGATCCTAATCGTGAATCAAGGAGAGATGGGGAAAATCTTGACTGCTATGAAGAAATAGAAGAAGAACAGGAAGAAGAGGAACAGATTTTTACCGACGAAGAAAATGAGGACGAGAACCAGAGGAACAATAACAATCAAAATTATGATCTTCCTCTTTACAATGGAGCTCCATTGACCATTTCACAGAGCATGTTGTTGATTGCAACTCTATTAATTACTCACAACGTCAATCAATCATGTCTTACCGACATTATATCGATCATAAATTTGCGATGTTTAACCGATAGCCTTCATAAGAATAGTTTATTCAAATTTAAAAAATTTTTCGCTTTAGGAAATCACAACTTCAAAAATCATAAAAAACATTACTATTGTTCTAATTGTCTAAAAAATCTAAATTCAGTCATTGATGCTTGTCCAGAATGTTTAAACAGTAAACCAGCACATTTTATTACACTATCTATTTCTGAACAATTGCGCGAGTTGTATAATAGACCAGGATTTTATCAGTGACTACAGCACCGTTTCCGTCAGCCGGACGCAAATTTTAATAATATTAATGATGTTTATGATGGTTCTCTATACACAAACCTAAGAAGAAATGGTTATTTATCTAATCAAAACAACATATCATTTATGTGGTACACAGATGGTGTACCGGTTTTCAAATCATCACACATCAGCATTTGGCCTCTTTACTTAACTATTAATGAATTGCCTTTCAAGGAACGAACTAAACGGCATAATTTAATATTAGCTGGACTATGGTTCGGTGATAAGAAGCCTGATGCAAATTTATTTATAGACAAACTACATTTACAATTTACAAAACTTCTGGAAGGATCAAATTATATTTTACCTGACGGACGAGAAATATTTGTGCAAGCCGCATTATTATTTGGTACGTGCGATAACCCAGCTAAAACGCATTTCTTGAATTTTAAACAATTCAATGGTTTTTATGGTTGCCCAGTATGCTTAGAACCTGGAGAAAGTTATCGATGTCCAACAGGAGGAACAACTCACATTTATAAATTTACTGATAATCCAAGTATGCGAACATCGGAGCAGTCTCGAGAGTACGGCAACTTAGCACTATTGAATAATAAAGAACATTTTGGTGTAAAAGGACCATGTGCTTTGTCGAATATAATGCCAGATTTTATCGCTGGAACGGCAATTGATAAAATGCATTGCGTTGATAATGGCGTGGTGAAAAAACTCTTGTCTTTATGGTTCGATAGTGCTTACAGTAGCTTTCATTATTCACTGTACCCTGTAATTGAAGTGATTAATGAGCGATTGACAAGCATAAAGTCACCGAAATTTGTCCATCGATTGCCTCGAACCTTACAAGAATTAACTCATTGGAAAGCTTCAGAATTAAGAATGTGGTTTTTTTATTATTCACTTCCAGTTTTGTCTGGCATAATGCAAAATATTTATTTCGAACATTTTATGTTACTAATTACAAGTATTCCATATCTAACTGCTGACAGCATATCCAATGAAATGATTGACAACGCACAAATTTTATTAAATAAATTCGTCCATGATTTTGAAACACTCTATGGACTACAAAATTGCTCTATCAATGTGCATTCACTTCTTCATTTACCGGAATTGGTTCGTAGGATTGGACCTTTATGGTCGACTTCTTGCTACGTGTTCGAAGATTTAAATGGACAGTTTTTAAAATTAATCCATGGTACGAGGCATATTGATTTGCAAATTGCAAGCACACACGGTCAGGTTCTTCGAATGCAACAATATCAAGAACAATTACCCGATGGACCTGTTAAAGATTTTTGTATCTCTAGGAAATATGGAGTAAAAATTTGTGAAAAGTTATTTAGACATTGTTATAGTGTTGGGACATATAGCTATTTCGATGACTTTCCGCAGTTTTTACATCGTGCAGTACATCATTTATTAGCCATCCGAAACATCAAGAAATATTATCGATTATTAAAGGACGGTAAATTGTATATCTCAGATCAATATTCACGTGATTTAAAGACAATATCATCTGATGTGCAGTATATTGATAACACGGGTACACCTCGTTTTGGCAGGATTTATTGCTTTACTAAAATTACAGAGTGTGAATGTTTAACTGCATGCGATTGCAATGGCATTCATCATGCAATAATTAAGAAGTTTGAATTTAATAATGCATTTCAATTATCATATAAGAATATAAAAATACCATATTTGTATGAGTTCTGGATAACTGAAGAATACGTAGCTGTTCCCGTGCAGTTTTTAAAGTCTGTGTGCATTTCTATGGAAGTAGATAATCGATCATTCATAGCTGTACCAGTTAATACTACGGAGTTGGAGTGATGAATTATTCTTTGTAATGATAGAAAGCAATAAATGATGTCATTTAATTTGTATGTTAAGATTATTTAAAGTTTTTCTATCAATTATACTTTTATGCGGTTAATTTTTTATTTATCGGCTACTTATTGACAATTAAAATGTTCAATTTTATTCGAGTAAGTTAAATATTGAAAATTTTTTAACAAATAAGCGATTTTTATTGTACACAGAAAGAAAAATTTCTTGACTGAAGAACAAAATTCTTGGCTCAAGAAAATTTTCAGGTGCTTGAAGGAAGATCGAACATGTGATGGCCGAAGTAAAAATTTTTCTTGAAATTCTATTCTTAGTGGAAGTAATTTTTTCTTAATTCAAATTCAACATTTTTAGAAATTTTTTTTTAGTGTACTTTACAACATGTTTAATATCAAACAAACATATACAAACCCGAATTTGCTAACGACAAAAGTTATTAAAGAATATTAGCTGAGACATAATTTTTATTTCAACTCTACACTTAGAAAATTTTTTGAAAAGATAATAGTTGAAAATTTTCTAAGTCCAGTTTTTGACTTAGAATTTTTTCGTAATAGTAAAAATTTTATGTGTTCTAAAAAATAAAAAGATGGAATCAACCTACAGACCCTCGAACTAGGTTCGTTAGGCTCGAAATACAGTTTTAAAACTGTGATTTCAACCTCAACAGCCTATTTTTAGGCCGATGAGGGTGAAAATACAGTTTTAAATTTCAATGCAAGCCCAACAACAAAAGAAAGGAGGCTCATGAGGCTCAAATCATATTTTTAATTTCGACTCGGGTGCCCATGAATATTCGAACCTTTGAAACTTTAGCGATTGTATTCACAGGGTCTTTTGTCTCGATAGCACTTTTTAAAAAAATGTTTTAAATTTTTCTTACCGAGATAGAAAACTTTTTTTTTTAGCTGACAGTTTCCAAACAAATTCTTAAGTCAACGATGTTAAAAAGACACCAAACTGCCATCGCGGCATGATACGATGATAAGTAACTTGTTTTATCGACAATGCGGTTTACCCTAATGTATAACAACAGTATTTTTCGTTATTTTTATGCAAGTCTGTTGAGAAAAGGCTCATTTGTATGCTCAAGTTGTTTGAATTTTTTACTTCACCGAGAATAACAATTCTATTCTCTACCTACTGAATAGAATTGAGAAAATCGAGTTTCTCGTTAAAGTCATCCCCAGTATACAAAACATACAGTAGTTACTCTTTAAAATCAATATTATTTTAAATTATCATTGCTCTATTACCATACGTTGAATATTTTCGAGCTTTCAAAACCTTCAGCCTTATTATTTTTTAAATACTTTCGACGTTGTTGTACAACACAAAGTTTCTTATCGTTGAATTTCAAAAAGTAATGAGGGATTAGCCTACAGCTGATTATTATTCATTATTTATTATTAACTGTTTGTTGTGGAGCTTATGTGTTTGCCAATAAAAATATAAGAAGCTTTGATAGCAAAATTAATATTTAAAATTTATGAATATATTTTTGAAAAAAGAAATATTCATGTAATAATTTTGTAAGGTGATTCCGACGGATCATTTGAGAGAGTCTAGAGTTTGAATAATGAAATAAAAAAAAAGACAGAGCGATGCAGGGTGGCGTGAAATTTATCAGAGTGTAGGATTGTGCAGAGAAAAGTATACCTGGGGAGCGGACGGACAGGCGTATTTGTCTAGTGAAAACAAATCCGGGTTCCAGTGAAGCTCCTTTATACATCAAAACCCAAATGCATCAATGAAAAGGTTCAAGAAAGAAGAACAATGCCTTTTTATTTTTACTTATGAAAGAATTAATATTTTTCATCTTAAAATTACGGAGTATTTATTAAAATTTATGACCCGGTGAAGAAAGGAAAGAATGTTTGTAGGTAAATAGAAGAAAGTAACGAATTATTAAAGACTATTTACTCACCGTATAACCGTCGTATGTCCAGGAACCGAACTTCATAAAGCAGGTTTGCTCGTCGAAGGGAAAATACTCGACGTTAATTTCACAAAAAGACTTGTAAATTGCCGGCGGTTTCCATTTTACCTTGCCAGTATAATGCAGAATTGCTTTGGTCATTATCGTTACCTCGTAATTGCCGTCGGCACTGTAACAAAAAAATTATAAAAATAAAAATAACCTTTTTCTTTCAAAATAAAATAAATATTTTTTTTATTTTAATTTTAGATTTATAAATATTTTTTTCATAGATTTTATTAAAAACCACCCAGGTATTTGCTATTATTTTTATTTTGGGTCCGTAAACAAGCATATGGCAAGTAATATTTCAATGTGAATGAGCAGAAGAAAAAAAATAAAATAATAATAAAAAAAAAAAACGAGAGTGTGAGAGAGAAACGGGCTTAGATCAGTTGAAAGTTGTAAAATTTAGCAGCATCGCCGTCGGTGAGAGTGAGGACTATGAAAGGGTAAAAAACTCAGATGTACATGTATAACCTATATGGAGTATGGAATCGGGGGTTCATGCTCCCTTAAAGCCCGTAGATTTAGTCTGGCATAGCTGTGTGTGACCCTGGGGTGGAGTCGTCGGTTCGTCGGTACGGGTGTGTCGCGTGGAAAGGGATGCGGCTGGCGCTTGGGCTGGCTGGCTGGCTGGCTGGCTGGCTGGATGGCTGGCTGGTTGCCGACGGGAGAGCGCGATCGATATAGGACAAGAATGTGCTGCGATATGATTCCTCAAAAAGCTCCGACGGTAAAGCTTTTCAGTTGCTCATTCTAATTCTCATTATTTTTAGCTTATACGTCTCACCACTAAAATATATTTATGCATTTTTGCTCTCGTATTATTAATTGAGACTTTTTTTTTATTTCGTCAGATTATTAATATTGCTGGGTAAAAAAAATTAGAACTCTTTTACACAGATTAATTCTTTTACTGTATATATATATATACATATATTTTGTTAAAATTCAAATGATGACGTTTATTTGATCACTGCTAATTCATCTGACAGAGTTTTTAGTCTGAAACAGAGTTGACACGCCGTTAAATCGGCTAACAAAATTAACAAAAAAAGTTAACAAAATTTTTGAGAGAACTCGAAATTATTCCATTAACTTGGTGTTTATACAACGACTAAAACATTTCTCCATTTTGAAATGTTAAATTAATACGTGATCATAAATTATTCAGCAGAGTGAGTTTGAAAAGCATAATAATACATTTTCCTTCATTTTGTCTACTACCCATTAACAATACTCTCTTTCTTTTTCTCACAGATTACCAACTATTTAATTCCCATAAAACTTACACATGATAATCCCATAAGTTTTAAACCATCTTGTAAAATAACAAACAATTTAATTAATCCATCAATCAATTAAATATCAAAAGTTTTAGTTTATACAATTTAATTATAAATTCGAAATAGTTTTACTTACAAGAACGACAACTATTTTAAACAATAACTACAACAAGCATGACAGCAAACAATGTATACATCCATATTTATCAGCCAGATAAAGTTTAAAAGTATTATTTTATAAAAGTCACCGGCATTTTAAATTAGCATTGTTCGCGTGATAAGAGACAATGAGGTAAATAGCCATCTACCAGCAGAAACATCCGTCTAGTCTGGTGTGGTGCATATTTATTATCATTATCATTATATTTAAGTAACTATCCTAAAAGTCATTTGGAATGTTTGAATGGCATATACCTAGTGATGTGTTGTGGTTGAAAGGGGCTGAAAAGGGAAAGGGGTGGTATCTTAACTTGCCAAGTGTATTATGGGTGTAGGAGTATATGTAGAGCGTCGCGACGCATCCGCATAGTAAGCATGGCAATGCCTTTATTCGCATTGATTTCTCTTGGTTGCCGCTGTTACTTCCTCATCTATTTTAGCTCCCTCTCCCCCTTTTCACGGGCCTCTAACCACCCATTTAGTTGGTTACTTCTCCTTACCCTCCCTCCGTTAACCCTTGTTCTATCCATACGGCACCTAGCAATGTAATGCTTTAATATTCTCTGCATCTACTATTCGCGTTCCTGGTATTTGCACCCTCTGCAATACTCATACATATGTATACAGATAGATTCACGACTGATGAGTTATATCCACTCTGATGAATTCAAATAAAATAATTACGGTAAATATTTATTTGTTTGGTCGTTGATTCTTAATGATAACATCAATTGGCTTGTATAACTTCACCGATAAGGGTAAGTTTGTCATAATAAATGCCAGAAGCAGTATTATTTAGGTTGTAGCCTCTTGAGAGCGGGATTATTAATGGATCGGTCGACGGTCACATTACTCCAATAAAATGTACACCTTCCGACAGTTATGTGTCACAATTCATTCATTTACTATCCCAAACCTTTCATTAAATTACATTACAAATTACCCAGGTCGTTTAATTAAATTTGAACGCTCGCCGGACTCGTTAATCCATTAATAATAACTTAAATATTAATCTTGTTGATCAACAACGGCCATTATCGCCAGCACAGCCCTATCGTGTTATCTGTTATATATTATGTACGTATATTTGAAGGGTCTCTAAATAATGGATTATCAAGGCGGATGCTTTTTTAAGCAAAAGTATCATTTTCATAGAGTGTATATAATCTTTTATGATATGAGCTGAGGCCGTCGATCTTTATACCAGTAACCTATATATTAATACATATGTATGTATGTATGTATGTATCGTGTAAAAATGTATAGGGTGTACAAGATGATTCTTGTGTTAGGTTACCCGGCTTTTCACCTTCCGATAACCCTTTCAATGTGAATTCACAAACACATTTTTATAAATGAACGCTGTTGACTCTTTGCTGGATGTATCGAATTGTGCCGGAGCGAAAATACGTTTGTGAGGGTAGAGTAAAATGAGAAAAATAAACGAATGGGGGTAGAGATGTAAAATAAAAATAGAGATATGCTTTTTTAGTTTTTTTTTTTTTTTTTTTTTTTTTTTTTTTTTTCTAATGCAACCCAGCTGTTGGAGCTTTACCGCT